TTAGGGTTTAGGGCACTGGGTTTAGGATTTAGGGGTTTTAGGGTTCGGTGTTTTGGATGGGCTTGGGGGTTTCTATTCTAATTATTAAGGCCCCTACATTACGTTTTGAGAGCAGGCATGAGCAGCTTCATGTACTTCAGGCAGGCTGGACATACAACGTGGGCTCCGGCCAAGAACCGCGAAGCCGCCCAAACCCTAAACTCTCAACTCTAACCTCCCCTCCCCCCAACCCACCCCAAACTCAAGCTCAAAAAAACCAAGCGCCCAAGCTCCCAACCAAACCCCTAAACCCCAAAGCCTAACATGTAAAAAAATTAGGGCCAAAGCTGGTTTGGTTTCCGACGTGCCGAACTTCTATGAATTCGTCGTCACAACGGAGCAGGGCTTGCCCCAAGCCTTGACCCATGCCTTGCACCCCCTATAAACCCTAACATAAGAACCTGATTAAGAAATCCTGACTCTTTGTTAGGGGTGTTTATATGAATCCTACTATTTCGGGGAAATAGGACTAAGGGAATCCTATTATTTCGGGGTTATAGGACTAAGGTTTCTCAATCAGGTTCCTACATTGAACTCTGAACCCCAAGTCTTTTGCCAGGAAGAGGCGTGCACGGCGCCAGCCGCTGGCAACGAAACCAGCGCCAGGCCCGATCCGGAAAGTGAGGCTGAGACTTTTTGAGGTTTTAGGGTTCAGGTTTCAGGAGTTTAGGATTTTAGGATTTCGGGCTTATAGGAGTGTAGGATTCTAGGATTTAGGGTTTAGGTTCTAGCTTTTGGGGTTTAGGCTTCCGGTCCAGACTCGGCCTAGACTGCAGGAGCTGCTGCTTCGCCTGTTGGTGGTGTCGCAGGCTTTCACTTAGGTCCCCAATTCCCATCCTTTAAACTTTCTGGGTTCCTATAATTTAGTAGTAATCTGAAAGTTTAACTCGTCATCTATCTGCTGTCAGACCCTCCACTACCTGCTCAACTTCGTGAACTACTGTCACCTCGACAACAGCAACTTTTTACTTCCCTGGCCTATTGGGGAAGTAAGTTCATTAGCACACCGAGAACTTGGCATCTTAGACCCTTGGCCTCCGACCCAAGACTCTGAAGAGCGCATACGGCTTTTAGTTGCCGTCCGTGGAGTTTTTAGCTTCGGGCTCCCTAGCCCACAACAGTACAAGTAGCAGATAGCTGCTAAGCTCGAGCGAAGCCGAAACCCGATACCATGCCACCTCCAAGTCCCATCCCCTAATCTACGATATGGGAGTTTCCAAAAATTAGGGTACCTTATTTTTGGGGTCCTTATAATAAGGATCCTATTATTTAGGGTACTATATTAGGGTTTCCTATTTTCGGAAACCCCCATATCCGAGTCTTGAGCCCGAAGCTTCACTTCGCCGTTCAGGTTTTCCCTGCAGTTCCTTATGGACTCAGCCATGACGCCGGAGCTAGTGGGCAACGTCGTGGATGGAGCCAGGAAGGCCATGACAGGGCTTGAGGAGTTGCAGCCAACCACGATTAAATCTGGAGATTTCCGGGGACTCCCACTTCGGTCTGAGGCAGTAAGCCCCAACCGGCTGAGATTTCATGCAGTCATGTTTTGAGGCATGGAACAGATAGGCATTCCGCAGCATCCCTTTATCGTTTAGATCGCTGCTTCTGTGCTGCGTGCCGGCCTACGGCCTCACCCTGGATGAACTGCTTGAACCTTGGCTTTGATAGCAGGCAGCTTTTTCCGCTGTGTAGAAAAGTGTAAGCTGAACCTGCGCTATTGCACTCTGCCGCTTCACTAACAAGTGCTGCTGCCATCGCATGGACATAAACCGTGCGTTTCGTGCATCACCAAGGCTTCGTGGACGGATTTTATCTCTTCGCAGTTTCGTGCTCACTCCGGCACCAGACGTTTTGAGTCGGTGGCGATTCGCAAGTAGCAGCTCATGCCGCCAAGCTGAACCTGGCCGGAGGGTTGAATTTTCACAGTAGTGATGCTGTCCTCACTGTACATCAAAGCGCACGGCTTCCTAAACCCTTGAGACTCGAGACAAACGTTAGTGGCGAAGAACACTTCATCAAAACCTTAGCTCATCAAAACCTTAGCCGGTGCCCCGGATCCTGAGCCAGGCCAAAGACAATCGCCTGGGCGCAGTACTGTCTGCAGCCAAGCGGCCCACTCTTATCAGCGACGGTGCTTTGCAAAAGCATCTATAAAGCCAAGTGCCAAAGTTCAGTTCCTGGTGGACGGAGACGCGGCACCGATCCAGCACATCGAGGATGCAATCCAGAGCTTGAGGTGTGATTTTCGAAAGGTTAATGCGATTTTATTCGCCGCTCCCGGACGGATGGAGAATGTGAAATGGAAGCAGTTTATTCTATCCACGCCCACGCTGCAGTTCAAGCCGGTTCCTCGAGAGGGATTTCGAGGCCAGCCAACGGACGATGCGCTTTTGTCAGCAGTTAAAGCTATCGTTGACGCAAGACACACAGGATGCATTGCGGTTCTGTCGTCTGACGGTGCTCTTACGACGGAAGTTGTCCGGTTGACGGTTGCAGGCCACATGCGTGCGATTGTGTTTGGCGTGAACATTCCGGTGTTCTATCAGGACCTATGGGAATCTAAGGGTGCAGAGGTGAGAAATCTCGATCCTGACCGCAACGTTCCTTTTAAGATTCGTGGCGCTCTTCGCACAGACAAGACGGGTACCTTTGAGCTTGCAGACTCTGAGCGGCTTCCTGCTCGAGAGTGCATGCACCGAACCCAATATCTTCTGAGTTTTCTCAAATCCCTTGGCTGGTTGGACGATGATGATGACAAGCTGGTACCTGCACTTGTCAAGTTTTGGTTTCATCATTTCCGCTACCGAAATCCCGACATGCACAGCTCGATGACGGTCTTTCCGATAGACCGACTTATCTGGACGATGTACGACAAGGTGCGCGACAGCAGCAGCTCTTGGCAGACGCGGCAGTCCAACTATGCTTACTGCACTCCATTGGCTCGAAGTTGCAAGCTCGGCAGGGAGGCAGCGCAAAAATTCGGGGGCATCAGGCAAAGACGTCTTTTTCTCGGCGGTGGGCCATTCATTCTTGAAGATTCGGATGATCTTCCGAAGAGCATGATGACTCGGCTTGGCTACTTGGATAAGCACAACACCGACATGCAGGAAGCTGCTTTCGTCTTTGCGAACAACAGTGACAATAAACACAACCTGCGACAGATGGGCTTGCTGTCGGAAAGTGGTTTTTGCCTGTCACAGATGAGACATGCCTTCCTCACAGATTTTACCTCCCAGTGGCATCTCGCACCCGTTGACATCCAAGTCCGAAAGCTTTTACTCCAAGAAGGCTACATACAGAGCGAGAAGGCCGAAAACCAGCAGGTGTGGAAGGCAATGCGCAAGTATGCCCGCAAAGCACATTTACCAGGGCCAGACTTGAAGACGTACAACGGGCTTGTGTGGCGAATAAACCGTGGGGTTTTCATGGAGAAAGATCAAACTAAAAGAAGCACCGTTGAGGTGCATTCCGATACCGTTCTATGACACAGTTGTCCAAGCCGGACGTGCCACCGACAGGTGAAGAATTAAAGTAAGGCACCCGAGTTTATAGGAGTCAGTTCTTCCACCGTCCCGGAGACACCTCGTCTTCAGGCCGAAGCTGGCAGAACACACGGCAAGAAGAGCGCTTTGAAAGGATCTCCATACAAATGCTGCAGTGGTCTTGAAGGGAGGCCCTTGTCATGCTTTTGTGAGCAGCATGCCTAGCGGCCTAGCACGAGAGAGGTCAAGACATCCTTGCATGTCACCAGCCCATACGTTAATCACACACACACACATGTTGCAGGGCTGCCAGCTCCTTCTTTAAGGTTCACACTTTGCACTTGATGCTCCACTGACAGCATCCCACACCCTTAAGGTCTGTCCCCAGCTCCGAAAACTGTAAGTTCATCCAAAGGAAGGGCCTTACAGAGGTTAGCTCATTGTTTAAACCACTGTGAGACCTGGAGCTTGTTGATAAGCCTTCTTGTCTTGCGCAAGGCCGTGGCCGAGCTCCTGGGCTTAACGGAGGACATGGTGAAGGCGCGTGCACTCGACCCTTCTGGGTTTCGGGCTTATTTATGCCACCATAGCACTATGTGGGGTTGCAGGTGTGGGGTAAAGTGTTAAGTTGCACATCGGATTTCAGCTTTGGTCAGGCTTTCCAGGCTTAGGGCCGGGTACCCAAAAGGGTCCCCCGAACCAGGACCTGACACTGAGTGGTGAAGACCAGCTCCACTGAGCAGTGTTTGTTGATTCCCATGGCAGTTCGGGCGACAGTAGAGGAGTTGACGGGCTGCAGACATAACAGCTCACTTCGCACAGTGGGCATTCACGTGCCTTCGCTCAATATTGAGCTTACCTCACTTTGAAGCCTAGATTCCAGATGCTGGGGTAGGCCTGCATGTCCTGCATGTGGTATGTGTAGCAGCAGACGTCGCCGTCAAGCAGCGGCAGTCGAAATGCCCTGTGCGGAGGAAGCCCACATAGCAGCAGCAATCCGCATAAACTGGAGACCGGAGACCCACCGGCAGGTGCATGTGGTTTCAGACTCATCGGGACGCCGCTTGAGTGTCGTCATGAAGCTGGAGGCCGACTGGTAGCCCAATAATTCGGGACTCTGCAGGTGCTGGTCACGTCGAAGTCACATTCCAATGGTGTCTTTGGTATCGTCAAGCAGGCTTATGAAGTACAGCATTGCAGGCTTTAGGCTAGGACAGTTTTTAGCGGTTTGGCCCACATGCCACATGTTGCAGTAGAGTGATAACTGTCCAGAGCCTTTTGTGGCATTTGTTTAGGGCCCTTTCGTCAGAAAGTAAAGGATATGTTGAGCATCGGATGCTTTCACGCTTTAGGGTTGCTCTGGAAGCAGACTCAGGAACCAAGGGGGCATGAAGCCAGTGTTCCCATTTCTTGGCAAGGGAAGTTGTGTTTTCTGCAGCATCTGCCTGCACTGGAGTAGAAGCTCAGCATTCTTCCTCCACAGAAGGCCGCAGCATGGAGCTCCCGAAGGATGCATAACGAACCTGCTATCCAAAAAAGACACAGTCGTGCACAAGCCACGAAACCATCCAGAAGCTGTGGAGTGGTTGAGAAGGCCCGAAAGTTGCCAAAGAGAGCCAAGCACCTTACAAGTATTGCGAAATCCATGCACACTCTAATTTCTTCCTCCTTACAAATCCCTAAGTCCCCCATCCCATAGTGAATAGTAAACACGACGCTCCGAGAGGCCTTAATCCTTTAACTCCCCAGAGGCTTCTTACAGAAACCTTCTAAGAACCGTTAAAGCAACCCTTACCTGGACCCCAAAAGTATGTAGAATAATCGCCTTTTATGGGTTTTGGGCCATTATTTTACCTACTTTTGGGGGTTTAAGCCCCCTCCGTAACTGGAAGCTCTGAGAGGTGGAGCTCCTTGCGGCACCACGGAGCTCCACGGCATTGCTGGCCTCCGATGCAGGGCAGGAGGGATCTGAGGGACTACTATAGCAACTATAAATGTCTGCATAAGCCCCTACGTTCCTATACCATGCGATGTTACAAACCTCGTGGTTGAAGCCCTAGATCGACCTCTACAAGCCGTCATATACAGGCCTGAATACTCGCCATCGCTATTCGCTGGGGCTCCTTGTCCTACGTTTACCTCAATATTCACCCAGAGCCCTATTCTATGAACCAGGCTCCTTTATCTGGGTGATGCGACTCAGTGTTTTCGGGTTGGACTGTAGACTTGTACTGTAGGTATCAGTCGGTGTCAGGCATTGTTGAAGTCTTGTGCAGGTTTGCGTTAGTGACGGGCAGCGCTTTGCGCGGCCCGGTTGGTATTTTAAGAGGTTCCGTTTGCGGTTCCCTGCAGCCAGGCACTACCTCAAGCAATGGTCACGAAACCTCCAAGCCCTGAGCGGCACTGTCTAAACCAGAAACGCCCAACCCGCTGGCATCCCTACGCCCGATACTCTACATCCTTTCACCTGAGCTTTCATAATCCTGTCAAGACCACGCAAGGAACAGATTTAAGCCCTGGAGCTCACAACGCCTATTCTAGGCTTAGTAAGCACCAAGCCCAACATGCTAACCTCTGCTGTCAATCCCAGAATCAATCATTCGACGGACTCTGCAAATGGTGTAAAACCGATTGTCGAACTCCAGAATCACCTTCTCTCGCAAGCCTCAGCCTGAAAATTGCAAGCCCCAAGCCCCCAAATTTCCAGAGCCTCTAACTCCTACTAGGGCCCGAAACCCAAAACCCATGCAACCCAAACGCCCAGAACCCTCCGCCCGCGAAATTTCACCCCAAACCCGAAACCCGAACCCCCTTTCCTTCCTTTCAGAGGACCTCCTCTCCACTGAGCTCATGGAGGAGTGGGACTCCTTAGGAGTGCCCTTGGACAACTTCAGCGTGCCGTGGCTGCAAACTGCAAACGGCTCCGGGTAAGAGATTCTCGCGTCTTGGCATTCTTGCCTCTTTTAATGAGTCCCTGAGTTTTTGCTCAGGGTTTCGGGTCGAGGGTTGAGGTTTCAGGGTCTGGAGCGGTTTGAGATTTGTGGCTCAGTGTCCCATGTTGAGGGTTTCGAGGTTTTCGCGCTCCCGACCGAAGTGGCCCAAAGCAGAAAGGTGGCTACGTGTCGCGATCGTTGCCAATCGCATCGCTCGTCGCAATCCTGTAGTCGCTGCTAGGTTTGTTTTGGGCTAGAAGAATGATTTTGGGGAATATTTGCGGCTGTCTTGCAACGCACGCCTTTTATCTCAGAAGGTTTTCTGGGACTGTTCTCTTTGCCCAGCTGATGTACCTTGACAGAGCATCTTAGTTACACACCTTGACAGCCCCAAACAATGAGGACCAAGCTCCCAGAACCCGATAGGCCGGAACCTCCGAACCCCAAACCCTTGAAGCACCAAAGCCGTAGACTCATAGCTTCGCAGCAGAGCTCCACCCGCGAAAGCCGAAAACCCTGAAAATCGCCCCACCGCTCAGGCCCTCTGTAAATCCCTAACCCCCAAAAGCCCCACTCCAATGATTAAGGGTCCCTAAACCTTGAACCCTCCCTTAACCCCAAATAGCCTACCTTTTGTTAACGACTTATACAAAGAAATAATCATCATAAGGAACCCTAAAAAGGTAGGTTCTTCAGGGTCCAGGTAATGATTAAGGCCCCAACCCTAAACCCTAAACCCTAAACCCTAAACCCAGCCTTAGATCCCTCTGACCAGGTGCTCATTGGTCCGGTGGAGGAGCTTGCCAGCACCACCACATCTACGCAGATGCTCCTAGGCTAACAAGGAGACGAAATTGTACTCTCAACCCCTAAACCATAAACCCCAAACCCCCCGAAACCCCTAAACCCTAAACCCCAAACCTTAAACCCCAAACCTTAAACCCTAAACCCGAAACCCCAAACCTTGAACCCTAAACCCCGAACCCTAAACCCTAACCCCTCTGCTCAGGTTTCCGGCTTCCTTTGCTAAGGGCACCGTACCTCGATACGCTCTAAAACCACTCTAATTTAGGGTTCATCGGCACCCGCCGTTCGGCATTTGTGCGGTTGGAGCTTGCCGCCGAGAGCCCTAAATGGCGACTTAGAATGTGCCCCCAAGAAACGGTTCATGATGTAAATCCTGCATTACCCATAGTAAGGAATATACCATATTTCCGTAGTTTAGGTAGGGTCCTCAAGGTAGTGCAGGATTTAGATCATCAACAGAAGGAGCTGGGTGCTTCTGGGATGTTCCAGCTCACGTCAAACATGCTGATCTTGCTAATCAAATGCATGACTGATCCGAAGATCCCCTCGTTACAGAAGCTTCAATTAGGGTCTAGGATTTGCTTCAGGGCTCAGGGCTTCTAGTTTGGGCCTTTTAGGGCTCGGAGGGTTTAGGGTGCGTTGAGTTTCAACTCTCGTGTTCCGATGGCTTTCTATTGTCGTGAAATATCGTGTATGCAAGCTGCTGCAATCTCATAAGCCCTTCAAAAGGTAGAGCTCAAAAAGCCACCTGCAGAACGTTGCCTTCGGCAACTGCTATAGCGGCGTGGAACATAGAGGACTTAGCCCTATGCCCATACCGGCTGCTGTAAATCTTGAACACTGAACTCCTACACCGGACCAGCCAAGGCAAGCAACTCTGCATGTCGGACCCTCTCCCGTCGGAGATGCCGACACGAACCTCATGATCGTAGCCGCTTGGACATCAATATTCATGGACTCCAAGTACAAGGCAGAAGCCCGTACTCAAAAAGGATGGTGCCATAACCCGAAACCCTTGGTGTCTATGGGAAGGCGGCAAAATCGCAAGTTCTAGGCCGCTGCCATCAGTCGCAGAGGCTCCCCGACGAAACTACACGGTGCTCGCTCCGTAGCCGCCCCCTGTTGTGGGAGGCACCCCTAAACCCTAAACCCTAAACCCTAAACCTAAACCCTAAACCCTAAACCCTAAACCCTAAACTTCCGCTCATGGTGAGATGTTGAAGACAGTGGCAGGGGCGATCCATTCGTAGGTCAGAGACTTTCAGGGCTACCCATAGGGTTGATAGTAGTTCCTTTTTGGGATTACCTAATAGGATCCTAGATAAATATAAGCCACAAAAAGGAACTGCTATGGGGCCTATGGGTAGAAAAGGGCTGCTGACGACGCGCAAGCAGTTTGGCGCGAAGATCCTGTTTTGTCTGCGCTGTTCCCCGTGACGCAGACGCGAGTGGACGTAAGCACGGTTGGGGCCTGGGTGCTCTGGCAAAACTCATGGGGTCGGAGTGGCCGTTACTACGAGTGGGGCATGGATGCTCTGGCAAAAAACCGATGAAGTTGGAGTGGACGTTTATTAGCCAGTCAGGCGAGGCAGAACCACCAAGGCAAGGCTAAAAAGAAGACACCATCGCACGGCAATGTCTTCGCGCATTGCATCGAGCTTGTCGCATCTAGTTGCAAGCCCTAAACCGCAGCATAACCGAAAGTTGAATGAAGAACAGGTCTTTGACTGCGAACCACAGAGTTTAGGGAGGATGTAACCATAATCCCTGGGGGCATAAGTATCCTGCGAGCCAGCCGCCTCGGCAGAGAC